CGCAGGAAGTGTGGGGGTAGATTGGAACCCATCTCCTGGTGTCCCCCAAAAGAGGGTTTTCAATTACTACTTTAATTCAGGATGGAAAAAAAAAAGATACTACTATTTCTTGATGCAGATCGACTCAATTTTGGGAGCCTTCTAAATATTTCTAAATATGAGCCACGGGGGTGCAGTGGTTAAGAGTGCAGTCCTGCAGGGCTAACTATGTTTGCTGATTGCCGGCTGCCTGCAAAATTTGGCAGTGCAAACCCCACCAGGCTCGAGGTTGACTCAGCCTTCCATCCTTCCGAGGTGGGTAAAACGAGGACCCAGATAGTTTGGGGGAAAGTGCTAATTATCATTGCTATTTCAATCTTAAACCGTACCAATTCAGCAAGGTTGGGCCTTCTACTCTACTGAGACTAAAGCCAAGCTAACTTTGCCCTTAACTTCTTAATATTAGATTAGGAATAGAATAGAATAAATAAGAAAAGTAACAAGAATAGAATAGAACAGAGAACAGAACAGGAACAGAATGGTTGGTTGGGCCTTCTACTCTACTGAAACTGAAGCCAAGCTATTTAATATTAAACTAGACTAGACAGTAGAGTAGAAGTAGAGTAGAACAGAACAGAATTGGAAGGGACCCTGAAGGTCTTCTAGTCCAACCCCCTGCTCAGGGAGGAAACCCTATCCTATTCCAGACAGCTTCTGAAGTCCATGGGCCTCACAACGTCTCCAGATGTCTGGATTGCTTCCCACTTTCCTGGTAAACCACCTAATGCTGCAATGGCGAACCTATGGCACGCGTGCCAGAGATGGCATGCAGAGCCCTCTCTGTGAGCATGTGTGCTGTCGCCAGCTACTCTTCTGGTTTCTGGTGCACATGTGTGCCGCCCAGGTGGTCTTTGCGGGTGCCAGAGCACTGGAAAACAGCCTGAAAAGGCCCCCCAAAACGGCCTCAAAACAACCGAAAAACACCCCCAAAATGGCCCCAAATGGAAAGGTTCGTCATCACTGACCTAGTGGTTCCGACCCAGGCGGAAAACCGACCCTTCAGATGTGTGTGTGTGTATATAGATAGATAGATATTTCTCTCCCTTTGACTTCCAGGCTTATCCCGTGGGGTTGCTTTCATCCGGTTTGACAAGAGATCAGAAGCTGAGGAAGCGATTTCAAACTTCAACGGCCACAAGCCGCCGGGCTCCTCCGAACCCATCACGGTGAAGTTCGCAGCCAACCCAAACCAGAACAAAAACGTGGCCCTCCTGTCCCAGCTCTACCACTCCCCAGCTAGACGGTTTGGGGGGCCTGTCCATCACCAGGCCCAAAGATTCAGGTAGGTTAGGAAGAACAAAATAATCCAGAGGTCTGTACTCTCTTCCCTCCCTCCCTCCCTCTGTTTCTCTCTCTCTCTCTCTCTCTCTCTTTCCGCTTCTTCTGCTCTTTTTTGTTTTTTTCCTTTTTGAAGTCATTGCTGTTCATTCTCAAGAGACAGCACCGAGTCTTCCAATAGATAGGTCGGCGGAAGGAGAAGGAAAAACACCCCTGTTTTAAATAATTATTGCCCCACCCCACAATATTAGGGTTAATTCTGTGGTGAAGTGACTGATTCTGCAAAGCCACCTTTTCGAGGGAGGGGATGCTGTTGGTTGCCCTCCCCACCCCACCCCTTTCACCCAGCCCGATCATCCGAGTGGGTTAATTTAGATAGCATCCTGTTATTAATTCCTCCTGGGCTCCACCAGACAATAATAGCCTTGTGAAGGGATCGCAATAGCAGTCTGTGTAAATTTGTATTTAGTGATTTCTGCTTTTTTACTTTAACCAACTCTCTCCCGATATTTCTTGACAGTTCCCGTGGAACCCATCAGCTCGGTCCCAATTGCACCTCCAACTTCTTCCATTAGATTTTTAAGCACATTCTGTATAATTTTAGAAAGCTCTGAAACAGTTTTCTTTCATACTTAATGGCAGTGGAGTGTTTTTGACCCCAAATGAATATGTACCCCCCCCTCCCTCCCAAGTATGTCAGTAATCATTGTGGATGTCCATATCTGTTCTTATTATTATTATTATTATTATTTTCTTTTTAATCTTCTGTTCTCTCAGATTATTTTTTACTCTTCTCACTTTCTTTCTCTCTCTTTTTTTTTCCTCATAGAATTTCATTTAAATAGAGAATTAAAAAGCCCTTCAGATCCTCTTTCCCCTATTAATAAAGATTGAAAATTTGTCTGTCTGATCTGATGCTTCATAACAGTGTGTTAAAAATACAAGATTTTAAACTTTTCTTGGAAAAAAAAATGGTGACATGGTATTCATTGCAAAAATTGGTTTTTCAAATTGGGTGAGTCCAGCACTAAACCCTCTGTCTTCCCCCAAGTCTAAAAAAATTATACTACGGGGTTCCCGTTATTGTTTTTCTTTTTTCTTTTTTTCAACCCCCCCCCCCTCCTTCCACTGCTTTTCTGACTTAAAAAATAATTGCTTCAAGTGGTTTATAGAACTAGAAAAACGCAAATTATAAACCAGTGAGGGCCACATCATAGTTCAGCAAGACACAAAACTGAAAACCATTAAATAGACTCAGATGTCATTCATGTTAAAGCCACCAATCAACCCCCAGGTTCTGACAGCGGCACTTGACAATTGCCTTTGCAGGGAACAAGATCTGTTATGGTCTTAAGATTTTCAAATTTGTACATTTGCCTTTGTGGACAAGTATCCAAATAAGAGCCCTGAAAGGTGTGTCCAACAAATTCTGGTGAAACTTAACCTGTGTGATTTTATTAGAAAGTAAGATAGCCAATCTGCTCAGTGATTGCTATTGAAAAGCACACAGTTTTCCCTCTGTCCTTTGTCATTGTTGGACAAGACACAATAATTGTAAATCAGCAGAAGTATTTAAACCAAGTGTGTCTTAAAAGAGTTGTTCACATATTTCCCAATTTCCTCCCTCCCTCCCTCTCTTTCTCCTTCTTGCCTTCTTTCTTTCCAATCTATCTCTCCTTCGTTCCTCCCCTCCCTCTTTTTTCCTCCCTCCCTTCTTTCCTTGAACTTTTGGCTTACAGCCCAGTCTTGCTATTTTCTTCCCCACACCACCTCCCCACTCCTGCTCCTCCTCTCCTCCCCCCCCCTCAAAAAAAAAGATTCCTAGCTGGCAGACAAATGTACAGAGGAGGGAAACTTTTAAAACAGGCTGACTTACAGTCTTTCAAGAGTTATTTTGATCTTAAAAATAGAATGGAAAGATGCATGAATCGTATTTGTATGCCCCTATTGGATAATCCATCCTTCTGAACTCAGTTCTGGATTTAAAAAATTGGGGGTTTGGAAGCATGCATGCCAGTTTGTTAAAAGCGTGTACATTCTCAAATCATCCTTTTTTATATCTGTATAAAAAAAACAACCCTTAAGACCATGTTCCACCTGCCCAGCATGTAATTTTGCAGAGATATTTTTAAAATTGCCCTGCAAATGCCAATGATTTTATCTCTAAACTCTCCAGTTTGATGGCAGGTTAGAGCGAGCATCCCCGTAATATTTAGGATTTTCTTTCCAAATACAAAGTCAGATTCACATAAAAGTACCCTGTTTCCCCGAAAATATGATCTACCCTGAAAGTAAGTCCTAGCTTGATTTTTACACGTGTGCCCAATATAAGCCCTACCCCCAAAAATAAGCCCTAATTAAGTTCCTACCCACTCGAGTGCACAGGTAAAAAATTAGCTAGGGTGGGAATGGGGGTGATGGTGGAGCTGCCCTACTACTTATCTTTGGGCAGTTGTAGCCAGGCCTCGCACACCTTGACACCTGTCTTGCCAGCCCATTTCTTCTGCAGCCGGCAAGGCTGGCAAGGCTTTCCTGAAGGCCTCTGGAGCTGATAAGAAAGCTCTGGATCGATCCAAAGCTCTGTTATCATCTGCAGGGGCCTTCAGGAAAGCCTTGCCGGTTACAGAAGTTCCCGAAGGCCTCTGACAGCAAAAAGGAGGCTGGAGGTGACACGCGCAAGTGAGGTTTTCAGTGGATGACATCCCCCGAAAATAAGACCTGGTGCCTTTTTTGGTGGCAAACAAATTATAAGACAGGGTCTTATTTTCGGCGAAACAGGGTATTAAAAGTATTGATTGCCCCTGCATGCTTCCCATATTAATTCCAAATGACTTTCAGAAGTTTTATTATAGCTTTTAATCTTGCCAACAATTCCCGCATTTTGACTGATGAGCTGTTTAAATTTACGTTGCGTTTATCTTGAGAAGGCTGGATGAAGAGATGGTCCTGGCTGTCTCTCCCCTCATAAGCCAGATCGTGGCTAGCTGTTTCCCGGATAAGGCAGGAAGAGATGAGCAGTAGAGGTTCGATCAAGCTCCCATCTGGCATGCTAGTGGCTTTTTTTTTTTGTCATTCTAAAGTATTTTTTAAGATTTCTAGCATCTTTTTTCCTACTCCACTCATGCAGAAGCGCCCTTTAGCTGGAAATGCTTCGATCTCTTGAGTGATTTGCTTAATATCAGTAAATCATAAAGTCACTAATACAATATTTTTCCTAAATTCCTCAGTGGGATGAGAATAATAAGCTGAGAATTAGTTAAGTGCCGTCTCTAATGAGAATGAGAATCTATTATTCTCCTGTTGAGAATAATAATCAAGTCAGAAACCATTAGAATTTTAATCGCTCGCTCACAAAAAGTTTGTATCAGAACAGAAACGAGAATGCCGCCAGCCACCATTTCATTATAGCTTGTAGCTTTTTAAAGCAAATTAAAGCTAGTTCATCCCTTAAAGACATAATAAAAGTAGTTAATTTTCTATTGAGAAATGGCATTTGAAACATGGCATTACAAATTACTTAGCAAAAGCTCTCTGCTTGTTTCATTTAGTATATCCCCTCTTTCTTGAATGTCTTGTTCATATCCTCTTCCATTCCTCTTTTATGATTTTTATGTGGATAGTGACACTTTTAATTCACTGGGCTGTGTATATATACCTTTGTAAACTCATTCCATATCATGCAAATGGCCCTCTTTTTAATTTACTGCTTCTCTGGTTTTGGATTACCTATTCCACTCTTAATGTGCTTTTTTTTCCCGTGTTTCGTTTTTGTTACTTTTCAAGTCTCCTCACTCCTCTTCATGCAATCTTTTAACTGCAAATTCCTCCTAGAGAGTTTCTTCCCTGTGAAAAACCTTGCATGTCTTTTTAAAAAGTTGCCCGCCTCCTGAAGTGTGTGTGGCCTCAGAGGGGTTTCTTTTAGAATTCTTGTCACTTGTTAAATAAATAATGTTCTTCTTAACTGCCTGTACTCGCCTTCTTCCGTATAAGGTGAGAATACCCCTGCCCCCAAGTTAGGTGACTTCAGGGCAGGTTAACGTGGTTTGAAGGATCCTGAATGACCTGTGCACATGCAGCCAGTGTTAGGTTAGTGGGTTTTTTTTTCCAGCCGTGCAGCCTTAAGATGAACGGACTTCAACTCCTACATACTAGCTGGAGAATCCTGGGAGTTGAAGCCCACCCATCTTAAAGTTGCAGAGATCGAGAAACACTGCTCTGGAGCAATCAGAAAGCATGATTTTGGGTGTGTGTGTCTAGCTTGAAAGCCTCCCCAAGCTGGCTGAATTGGGAAGAATGTATATGTGAATCCCTTAGCCCCCTGGGACCCCAGGTCTTTGGGAGACATGGCCATTTCTTTCCCCTCGTTCCACTAAGAACATTTGGCTACCGTGGGAGTTACTAAAAGCCAAGATTAAGCCCCTAAATAGGAGATGGAAGAGAGGTCACCAAAGAGAGGAGAAGGAAAGTGAAATATGCTGCCTTTTGCCGGTACTACTGGGTGCAGCCGACTCTTGAGACATATCATTGATTTAACCCTTGATCCTGGTCTTCCGCCATCCCCCTGGATGTATATTCTCCAATGGGACACATCCATAGCCAAGAGTTATCAATCGTGCTCTCTGGTGGTAATTTTGTGCGCCAACAGCTTTGGCTGTTGGAGCAATTATCTGAATCATTTAAGGAATGAATGCACTGCTTCCCCCCCCCCTCCCTTTCTCCTGGCAACTCTAAAAAAACCAGAGAAATACTTTTTGAGACCCACGTATGGGTTTTTTCCAGACCCACGTGTGGGGGAGGGAAAAAAAAATGGACCGAGTTCAAAAGAGGATCTTCCAAAATGGTCACCTTTCATAGGCCCTGCTGCCCCTCGAATGACCATTTGGCCGGACGATGAAATGCACTCTCCCAAGTCAGATAAGTCAGCCTGTAGATTCCCCTTGAAAAACGGGAGTGTCGTCTCGATCGGTAGCCGCTAGCCACTCAGCCCCTGGCCCCTCTGGTTCTGCTTCATCAGCGAGGCATTATTTTGTCCAGTCAGAAAAGCAGTCTCTTCTCTACCTGAACAGAAGGTTTCCCCTCTGCCGCCCACTCCCCTCAAACCTCCCCTGGGTCTCTTTGAGTGTGAGGTTTCTGCCCCGTCGCAGTCACCTCGACGCACGTAAGCCGATGCCAGGGGAGGGACAGTGTGATAACTTTGCTCTCCTAGATCAGCGGGAGGGAAAAAAACCGACAATCTGGGGTTGGTGGGGGGAGCAGGGAGAAAATCCTTTTCTTGGTGGCCCCACGCAGCATCCTGGGAATGACTCCTCCTTGGGTTGGTTAGAATTGGGTGGGAGAACAACAGGATTTCTGGGGGGGTGGGAGGGGAGTGGGAATGAAAGAGGGCCCCCATGCCTGGTCTTCCAGCATCTCCCTGCCCGTCTCAAGTCCCACCAAGTGCTTTGAAACCCCAAGGTCGCCCGGCTCAGTACCGATTGCCAGCCAAGGCCCCCGAAAGCAGCAACCTCTTCCGTTATGCCCCATCCGTGCTTCTTGCCCCGAGGATCTGAATGCAGGAGGCCTGGTCTCCAGCTATGGCCCTGGAGGAAGAGTCCTGGCTTGACCTGGGCAAGGGACAGCTTGATCCTGTCTTTGTTCCGTTCACGAGGACCCTGTGCAGGAGACGCTCCTCCTGGTAGATCACATCTCCGCCTTCACAGACTCTCTCTGTTTTTTTAAGGAGATAAAACTTGCTGGCGGGCGACAGTCAAAGCAGCAGAGAAATGTATGGCACCAGAGAGGTTGACCTTATTTAACGTGGCACGAGCTTCTGTGAAGTAGAGCCCACTTTGCCAGGCGCTAGGAAGGGCTGGTGTCGCGGCCCCGACCATCTCCAAGCGGAGTGAGGGGACTTCTAGATGACGTTGGACCCCAACTTCCATTGGGTGTCTTTTTTTTGGGGGGGGGGGAATAATTCGTTTTGTTTTCCACCCGCTAGGATTTTGGGATTAAGCAACATCCTGTCTAATTTTTCCCACTCCTGACTTAGAAACGGAGAGAAGTGATCTCTGCGGCTGTGGTCTTTGTCACAAGAAGGCCGATTTAATACCTGTATTATGAAAGAAACCCACGAGTGGTGCGGTGGCCTTGAGGTGGAGCTCTCGCCTCACAGTCCGGAGAGGCTGCGAGTTCGATCCTAGGGAGAGGCAGATATTTCTCCTCTTCTGGGCACGATGAGAATATATCTGCTGAACAAAACCCCACATTGGCAACAGGAAAGGCATCCGGCCAGTAAAACACTCCGCTCCATTCAGTTGCCCAGACTCCACCCCTCAAGGGATTATGGGGTCATTAAAATATGATGATGATGATGAAAGAAACCCACTGCGTTCTGTCACCGAACCCAGGAAAAAGCTGTGGGATTTCGGTGTGGGGCGTCCTTTCATATTACTTCTGTTAAATGGGCCTAACTTAGCTAGAAAGCAAAAATAATAAATAAATCAGCAGCGGCCCTCCTTGCAGGGAAGAGCTCCCTCTTCCTTAGTGTGTAAGTTGTGACTCAAACCCACAACTGCTGCTGATATTCTCCCTCCCTCCCTCCCTCTCTCTCTCTCTTTCTCTCTCTCTCTTCCTTGGCTTTCTGACCACAGCCTGCCTCTTACTTTCCTCTCCTGCTCCCCCTTCCTGCCCACCCTTCATTTTTGTGTTACTTCAGCAAATGGGAGGTAGGTGGGCGGGCGGGCGGGCAGTGCTCCTTCACCCATCTGGTGAAGTGGGGCCTAGCCTAAGAAGGTTGACCCAGCATTGGTTTCCCCCCCTCCCCCTTCCTAAAAACGGTGCCTTTAAACTACCGGTCCTGCCCACGGCAGGGGAGACAAGAGAGACCCTCTCCGCCGAGGATGACCACTGGGTTGCCCCTCACCACGGTGTTTTTTTTTAAGGAAAAACAAAAACAAAAATCTTGAGCCCTGTTTGAGTTTTTTGCTTGATTGAACTGACTTCTTTTTTTTTGTTTTGTTTTGTTATTTTGTTTTGTTTACATGAACTATTGTGTGCTTTTTATTTGCTAGGTTCTCTCCCATGGGTGTAGATCACATGAGTGGGCTTTCTGGTGTAAATGTCCCAGGAAACTCCTCTTCGGGCTGGTGTATCTTCATCTACAACCTCGGCCAAGATGCCGATGAGGGAATCCTCTGGCAGATGTTTGGCCCCTTTGGCGCGGTGACTAATGTGAAAGTCATCCGTGACTTCAACACCAACAAGTGTAAAGGCTTTGGCTTTGTGACAATGACAAACTATGAAGACGCCGCCATGGCCATAGCGAGTCTTAACGGCTACCGGCTGGGGGACAAAATCTTGCAGGTTTCCTTCAAAACCAACAAGTCCCACAAATAACTTCGCTCGTGGCTTTTTTTTTTCTTTTTTTTTTTTTTTTTTTTTGTATGGAATAGATAATTGAGTGACAAAAAAAGTGAGCTCTCTCTTTTTTTTTTTTTTTGGTTAGTGTACAACTCATTTCCTTTTTCTTTTTGGCGCCAATTTTCACGAAGTTGTTCGTCTTTAGTCTATAAACGAAAAGTTGGAAGGAAAAAAAAGGGGGGGGGGAGTTTATACTCTGGGATGCCACCCACATGTTCAAATGTTTTGGGTTTTTCAAAGTCCCGTAATGGTTCTACTCTTTTTTTTTTTTTTTAAAGTTCCTTTCGAAGTAGCCCTGTTTGCAAACCTCCCCTTGACACCCCTCCTCCCCCTCTCCCACAAAAAAATCTCAGTGGATGAAACCATTATTTGCACCCGGTGCCAGTGAAAGTGTCAGGCAACTCTGCTCCCTTAAGAGACCGCTGTTAATTTCACAGAATAGAGCTTGCTAAGGCAGGACATCAGCCAAAAATCCTGTTAATCCCAGTACTTTTGAGCCAATGCTCTTAGTTAATAGTAACTTCTCCTTTTGTCAAGAAATTTGCTAGTGAAAAATCAGCTTCTTGGTGAAAAACGACAAGGAAAGTCTGGAGAATATGAAATGCCACCCCTGGGTAACAACTTTGACTTCTGTAAGCAAAACCCAAACTGGGGCGGGGGACGACACCTTTTTGATAGTGTGTTTTTCCCTTTCTTCAAAAGCTCAGTTTCCATTTTAAAAAAAGGACCAAAGTTTTGAGAAAACTCGGGTGATTTCAGAATAAAAGAAAGGGGAAAAAAATGAAACTAAAATCCCAACATTGCCACTTCCTCTGAATTCTTAGTTCCAATTAGCGTGTTTTTGTGCATTTGCTTTCTGGTAAAACAAATGTGGCAAGATTTAACATTAATCTCTCACATATTTTTAGTTGGAATAACCGAGTTCTTAGAATTCACTTGTGAAAATCTTAACAAACATTTGAGCATCATAATTATTATTTTTTTGCATCCCTTCTAATAATCACTAGGATTTTTTTTTTCATATTTTAATAGTTGAATTTGTTTTGAAAAAAAAAAATAGTTTTACCTATTTGAACGCTCAGCAGAAAGGAGCATTAAAACTTACAAGTTTGAGATTACAAAATTTTGATTTCCTTTTTTTTTTCTTTTTTCTTTTGGTAGACTTAAAATGTTTTAATTAATCCCCAACGTTTTCTTCAGGCTGCCTTGAAAACTTTTGAGTTCTGTTTTCTGTTAATTTTCTTTTGCTTTTTTGTGTTTTTGTTTGTTTTTACTTTTGCATTTAAGACCAATTAAATTTGATTTGGTTTTGCTGAAATTTTGTTTTGGTTTGTTGTTTTAATTTTTCTCCCCTCCTCACCATTGTTTCACAGTACCCAATCTGAACGATGACTTTTCTGCATAAGAAGCATTTGGGGATTTTAAAATCAACTGCTTGGTAGGCGATCAGGAATTAACGCATGGAAAGCATTCGCAATCATTTTCAACCAACACGGGAAGAGTTTAAAGTGGCCCAGGAAAAGTTTACAGCTTAAACTGTATATATTCCATAACATACCACAGTTGGCTAGATCTGTAAGATTTATAAACCAAACCTTTGGGCGAAGAGAAACCTTATCTAATTCTAAAAAAAAACACCAACCCGCTTTAAGCCTGTTGCAACCTTTGGGAACCTCTCTTGCGTAAGTCAGCTGAGAGGCAGGGCCGATTCCGTTTTGGATCTGCAGTGTTTGCGATCTCTTTGCGTTTGTGAGCCTGTTTGCGGAGAGCCTTTCCGACCACCTTATCTTTCAATCAGTGCTCAAAATCTAGGACTTGGGATGCTGACTTGAGACCTAAGTGTGTCGGGATCTCCCCGGCAGCTGATACAACACAACGTCGCAACGTCCTTGCAGGTAAAGGACCCACCGGTGAAAACGGCAACGGTGGGTGGTTTGCCTTGCAGTCCTTCACACCACACGGCCGTGCGTGTCTGAGGGACACACAACCTTCCCTTTTTTTTGGGGGGGGGGGTGACGAGGAAACGTGCCTCATCTGAAGACAATTTCTACTCATCACACAAAGGCTCATGGCCACGGTGAATCCTGATCTCAAAGCTCTCGGGCGTGGAAATGCCATTCTGGGAATATCTGCTTTCATGCTTTCAATTGCACCTTTTATTTTTAAGAATTAACCTGGCAAGGTGTATCCTTTTTAGAAGCAGGGTTCTTGGCCCCCAAGATTATATGTGGACCTATTTATTTATTTTTTTAAAAAAAAAACTAAAATAGATGGTCTCTTTTTTGAGGTTACTGCTGTCCTAGCTGCCATCACATTTTGTGTTCTCGAGAGATTTGTGACAATAGTTCAGGCAACCATGTTTAGAGATGCTTCCTTTTCGTTTCGTGATTCTTCTAAAATCTTAATTCCTGGACAGCCCTGAGCTGTTTTTTCTTCTTCTTTGTTTTAATTTTGGAACGATCAAGTTGACACCAGAGCCTGGAAGGTTTATTTTCCTTGTTCTTTGCAATGTTGATTCACAAAATTTCCCGTGTTGCTTCTTGAGCAAGACTTGTCTTTTTTTGTGGCGAGGAGAACCTTTTCGTCTTTTTAAACTATTTTCGGTCGAATTAACATCATGTGACATTCCAGTTGGAACTAACCTGGTACCATGCTTTTTTGAAATTGGGAGTTAGGGCCATGTGCCATTATGGCAAGATCGGTTGCTTCGACTTCCAGTGCAAATTATTTATTTCAGAAGAGACCACTGTCCCAGTGGTTGTGGTCTCCTGAAATAAATTTCCCCTTTTAACAGCTTCCAATAATCTCTATATATTTTTTTTCTATTGAATGATTCTTTGACACATAGCACGACGTCTTGGTTTTTTTTTGCTTTCAATCGTATAGAACATTCCTTTAATATATTTTTTTTGAATGCCTGAAGGAGTCTTGATTATAACTATGTCGATGGAAATCATAAAGCATTTCTTTTACAGCACCCGTTCACTCCTTTTATAGTTCTTCATTCTCATTTAAAGGCAGCCTTCCAGATGTGAGACACAATTATAATTCCTGACTCAGGAATTCATTGGCGCTGATAGAGATGTTGATAGAGTTGCCAGTTGTGAGAATAACCCGGCCTCTCTACTGGAATAGTGGGTGTAGGTACTTTCCCCTTCCCCTGTCATTGCTACTTTCTCTGCTCCTTGGTCAGTTGTCCAGTCAAGCACATCTCAGCTTTACACCTCTGACATTGGTTTTGCCATAAGAAGAAACTAAACAGATTTCTTCTGGCAAATACGATCAGTAGCGTTGGTGTCTGTTCTACAGGTTTTTACTCTTTCTCCAGCTCTTGTTCTTCGGATTCACCAGTCTTTCATCTTCCCCCAGTCTTGTCCTCTGATCGCCGTCAATCTTCCCTAATCTGCTTTTCCAGCGCTCCGGTTTAGCTCCAGGAGAGTTTGAGGTGGATTCCTGCTAAGAGAACGGTTACGGACAAGAACTTGTTAAAACATTTTTACAGGTGATTTAAAAGGACTCACCACTGAGAGTCAGAGCCTTAAGTGGAGAAAGCGTGAAACCCTAGCGCTCTGGGACCATTCTCTCCTGCTACATTCCCTTTTAAATCCCAATTTTAGTGGAGCATGATTTAAAAAAAGAAGAGGGAATTAAGCCAGTTTCTTAAAAGGACCTCCTAAGGGGCTTGGTAATGGGATTGACAGTTCTCTTTCTCTTTGATACTTCTCTGGTTTCCAAACGAAATGGAGTTTTCCCAAGTGGCTAAGTTTGCCTTGTCGCCTACTCTCAAAAGTTGTTTTTAATACGGAGATTGGATCTTTCGCCAATCTGGGAAAAGGTAAAACAGGGTTATGCATACAGTATGTATAAAATGAAAATGGATATTTGGGGGGAGGGGTTAGTTTGAAGTGACGGTAATGGAAGAAGTAATCCTAGTTGCTGGTATTCGGCAGATTATGGTACCCTACTAAGCTACGTTCTCGGCTAAGTGAAATACGCGAAAAACCCGTATTCCAGAGAATTGCCAAACTCTGATAGGGCAGTGAACAACTCTCTGTTTCATCCGTATACCTTCTTTACAGTTTTGTGCCAAAAAAATTTGGCAAATTTGACACGTGACAAACATTTTTTAACACTTGGTCATTTAGCAATGCAAAGCCCTTTTGTGGATTCAGCTGGATGTCTTATTTTTTTGTCTCCGTTCTTTAAAACTCCATCTACAAATGTATATCTTCTTGATAGGAGTAGGTTTGAATTTTTTAAAAAAAATCTGATTAGATTTGTGTTACACTTTGGTAGAGAGGGAGAAACGATTGCCTATAAATTGCAGAAATAATTTGCCATTTGTCAGAATCCAAAATTACTTTGTTTTTCTAAATCCAAGATTGTTCCCCTTCACCCAAATGTTTAATGGTTTTCAATGTTTGCTCTCATAAGCCAGTACAAGTTTTCCCTTCCTGAAAGAAAAAGGACGATGGCCTTACTCACAATGAGTAAATTTTGCAGTTCTCATACTGACATATCCACTGCTTTGTGAGGATAAGTACCTCCCTTTTGACTAGAAATAAATTTGCTGAGAATTACGCATTCTGACATTAAACATGGCCCACTTTGTTTTCCAGTGTATTAAACACAATTTAGGTTTTCTACCAAACATTTAATTCTTGGCTGTGTTTCTGTGATGACAGCTGAGTCACACTCTACTTAACTTGAGAATCCCCTTGAAGGAACATTTTTCCCCCCAAGATAATGAATGCACTTGTGGCAAATTTAGGGAGTCAAACATCAAATAAAAGTGTAGCGCTTTCTTGTCCCTTGCATTTGAAAGTTCATGGATTTTCTCATCTGTATTCTATTTCATTCATTCATTCATTCATATATATATATATCAGTGGCTATTTTAGTTCAATTCCAATTTTTTAAAATTTAAAATCAGATAACATACTGTTTGGCTGCTTACTTGTAGCATTCTCATCTAACGGAGTTACCCAATCTGAGAATAAGTTGTGTTATTTTCCCAGTGCATGATTTAAAAATAAACAGAAAACACACAGTTCAGCGGGGAAATCCAACATCACACAGTGACTGGCTTGTGTTGAATCTGCTCGGCTGCCTTCCCTTCCCTTCCCACAGCCCACTTCCCAAGGGCAGATTTTA